ATTAGAGAAGCCCTAAAGTGCAGTATGCCCAAAACAGATTAAACCTTCAAATAATCTAGCTTCCAAACACCAACATGTCTCTACCGAGCAAATGTAAACTGAGATTTTGAAAAAGCTTATAATTTAACCAGATTTGGGCATGCCCTTCCCCCATGGTACAACAAGAGACATTACTTCTCCAACAAAACTGCTGTAAGACTTATTTTTTTTAAATGGACAAAACAACTTATCATTCCCATCTTTCATTGTTGGAAACCATTGAATCATTTTTATTGAACCTTACCAAAATGTGCTAGGATTAATGCTGGTCATCATTTACAGGTATGTTTTAATCTTATTTAAAATATTAAATCTTCTTGAATTTTTCCATGAATTTTTTGAATTATCTGATTAAAATACAAAACCAAAAATCTGAAACTGATTTTTTTCCATTTTTAGTTAGTTATACTGTTTATTGTGTCTTCCACCTTTTTTCTATTTTTCCCCTTTTTCATTTTGCAAATGAATAAATGAGCAGAAAAGGCAAAAAGGAGGGTGTAGTAAGTTGAGGGTCAGTAACATGGAGTCAGCAGGCCTCCATAGAAACCTGTAACATGAAAACAGCAACAGGCCTACAATCCAGTGAGCAAGACTTTGGTTCAGTAACACAGTAGCCAAGAAAGAAGCCTTACTGATTACTATGTGAGGGTATGTCTCCACTACAAAGTTAATTCGAACTAACAGACGTTAGTTCGAATTAACTTTGGTTGGCCGCTACACACGCAATCCGCTAGTTCGAACTTAATTCGAACTAGCGGAGCGCTTAATCGAACTAGGTAAACCTCATTCTACGAGGACTAACGCCTAGTTCGAATTAACTAGTTCGAATTAAGGGCTGTGTAGCCACTTAATTCGAACTAGTGGGAGGCTAGCCCTGCCCAGCGTTCCCTGCTGGCCACTCTGGGCCCCACCAGGGAAACTCTTCTGCCCCTCTCCCGGCCCCGGAGCCCTTAAAGGGGCACGGGCTGGCTACGGTGCCCATGCCAGGTGCAAGCCTGCCAGCACCCAGCCAGCAGA